TTTGTAAAAATTTTGCTGTTTCATATTTTTGTTTTAAAAGGAAAATATAGGTGTAATGGGAGTAATTATCAACAATGGTCATAAAGTACTTGTGCCCATGAATGGATGAGGTAGAATATGGTCCCCAAAGATCAGTGTAAACAAGATAAAAACATTTCACAGATTTTGAGGTGCTTTAGGAAAGGGAAGTCTCCTTTGCTTAGCATAGTAACAAATATTATAAACATAAATCTTATCATACTTCACAAAAGGAAATTTACTTCTTATAACATCTACGCATTTATTTGAAAAATGTCCAAAGTCTATAATGCCAAGGAGTTTCATGATTACTAGAAGTAAAATTAACAACATTGACAATATGCAGTGAGGACTTGATGGGTTGAAGCATTTGGTAAGAAGGCACCCTGAGTATGTAAAGTCTATCATGCTCACTAACTAAACCAATCATCTTCAATAAACTCTTGTCCTGAATTTGACAATGAGTTGAATGAAAAATAAGAACACAAGATAAATTATTGGTCAATTTTGCCACAAATGGTAAATTAAAGAAAAACAAGGGAAGTAAAAAACATTATCTATGACATGATTTGGAGTCAGAAATAAGCTACCAAAATGATTTGCAACAACTTTATTTTCATTCAGTAACTTGACATGAACAGGTTTAATTTGGTGAAAATAAGTAAAATGAGAAAGGTTTAAACAAATGTGGTCAATGGCACCACTATCAAGTATCCAAACACTATAGGAAGAGGAAGATTTACCATTAAGAGATGGAATAGTGTGACCCGAAGGTGTGAAAGAAGGTGATGGAATAATAGATACTTGATTGGATATACTGTTGGACTATGTTGTTGTAAGAGTGCCAACAATCCTTGACATTGCTTTAAAGTAAAACCAAATTATTGTGACTATACATTTGCCTTTAGACTTTCAGTGTTCCCTTTATCAACATTAGGATTATCATTATGAAAAACAACATTGGCATGAATCTGGTCATGATTTTTATTTTTAAATTTGAAGTGCAGTGGGAATCCATGCTTTCTATAGCAAGAATCAATAGTATGTCCTGATTTGCCATAATGATTGCATATTTTTGTACTATTTTCCTTACCAAAATTACCTTTAGTCTGCAATACATTTTCCTTTCTAGCACCAACAAAACCAACAGCTTGACTAGTGAGTTTCTCTTGAAATTTCCTCTCCCAATAGCCATTACCTTTGACTGATTTGGTGAATCATAAAAAATATGTCTCCTTTGCTGAACTACTAATGAGAAAACACAATTCAAAGATGGAAGAGAATCCATCATCAATATTTGGGTTTTAACAGTAGAGTAATTTTTATTCAATCCTCATAGGAATTTAAAAACTTGGTCTTGAGTTTTGTACTTGCTAAAGTTTGTTATGGCATTACACGGGCACCTAATTGCACAATTACAAGTTGGTAAAGGACGAAAAACTACAAGTTCATCCCAAAGAATTTTCAAGTCAGTGAAATAGTTTATGACAATTAATTCCCCTTACTTGAAGGAAGATATCAAATCTTGTAAATCTGCAATACAAAGCATGTTTTCCTGAGAGAATCTTTCTTTAAGTTCATTCCATATATCAGAGGCAATATCCATCCAAATAACACTTTGAGCAATGGTTAGTGACAAAGATTTGAGGAGTCAAGAGACAACCATCCATCATGTTCGCTCTCTTCCATGTTGGATATAAAGAATTTGTGCGACCTAGTGCTTTAATAGTTCCATTAGCAAAACCAAGTTTATTCTTGGAGACAAGACTCATACGAACTGATCTAGACCATTGATGATAAATTTGTTCCCTCAAGAACGTTAGGAACAATGACTATAGATGAATTTTCTGACACATGTAGATAGTATGGAGAGGTATTATAACACTATATATTTCATTATTTCAAATATGTCAATTTATGAAGAGTTATAAGAAATAACTAAACTTTCATCATTCGAATAATCAAAATTTACTAAAATGAAATCCTTTCATCACTAAAGTCACGTGTGAAATCATAAAATTAGAAATAACGGCATAAATATACTATAAATCTATGTTAATATACTCAAAAATTTATTTACATCATGAAATATTACATTTGCAAACCTTCCATTTAACATATTCCAAAATATACAGCAGGTCATAATCATACCACATACTTGAGGACCTGGAACTGTTCGTCTATATCATGCCATCCCTCAATTTTTGTCAAGTTCTTAGTGGTTAATTCATCATCCTTCAAAGTAGGCATCACTCGAGTCCACTGCCATTTTTATACTAGGAAATCTCTCAAATGTATAGCTATTAGGCTTTCTTAGCAAATGATGATCATGATAAGTAAATATATTATTCATGATCCTATAAGACCTTTCTGTTCCCTGGTATAAATGAAAACTAAAAGACTTATGAATTTGACCATTAGTGGGAAAATCAAAAGAAACTACATAATTATAAATTACTTCTAAAGTGTACTCCTGATCCTCCTCAAAATACACTCTAAAATTTAAATGTATTACAATATACTATCTAAAAATATAATTCAATCTACTACTAGCATGGACATCTACTATACTAATCTGCATGGGACGTGTCGTTATTTTTACTACCTGTAAGGTTGTGTAAGGGTGAGCAATTATTCTATCTTTCAAACACAACACAATTTCATTATATCACTTATTTCAATAAATCGTAAACATATAATAATTATCATTTCATGCCCATCATCACATAACATATGTTTCATTCAACACATATTTACATAATTTTATTGAAATTTCCATTTTCAAATATGTATTCTCAGGGCACTGTAATCACAGTCATTTGATGCCTCCAGCAGTTCTCGAGGTTTTACTCAATCATGTTAATAGTTGTTGGTTAGCTCATACATATGGATATAACGTATACTATAATGAGTCACTTTGCAAAGGCGTAGTCAATAGTCTAGTTGGAAAACAAGTATGAGGTCATGTGGCGCATTTATTTTCAGACAGGATATGTACACATATGTGAATGTTGCTCATCACCATACGTTTCTCCTAGATTTTCCTATTGTCTCCAGACTTTATATCTCAAGTGTATCTTTGTAACTATTTATACTAAATCCATTCAACTCTCATATTCAATTCACAATCCAATCATAAGATCGTGTTTAATAGCACTCCCAGACCAATTTTATATTACTCATACCACTATCTCATAATTTCAATAATCACATTATTCAATGAATCATCGATGACTTATTTATCATATTCAGATATTTATCAATAACAAAGTCATATCATATCCAATGCATTCATTAAATATCATCGAAACTTACTCAGTCATAATTTTATATTTTCTCATCATATATTTCATATGAACATAGTATAATCAGTCAACCAACAATTAGACATATACATATCAACAATCTTTCTTCATTAATACTTATTACTCAAGTATATCTTATCAAAATTTGCTACATAAACATGCTCTCCTGAGCTCAACATATAACAAATAATATACAATGATAAAATAGTGCTCCTCTTACCTTATAATGAAGATCTAAATGGATATTGATGATGAAGAACGTCCTAAAATGGCATTTCTACCAAGATAACACAAATTTATTTCTTAAGAACAAGATTCAAAGAAAATGAACGGTAAAAACACAATTAAATTTAAAAAAACTTACTTAGGATCATGTGAAACGAATGGGTAATCGCGAATTTAGGAAGAAATCAATGTTTTGAGGGATTTTATCTGAGAAATTGTAAAGAGAGTTCAGAGAAACGAAGTTTGAACGTGAGAAAAAAATGGAGAAAGTGAAGTTTTCATTCTACAATTTTTGCTACAGCGAGACCCTTCTCGCTACAACGGGACTTCTTGCTGCAGGTGAGACAATCTTATTCACTTCTTTCATTACAGCGAGAAAGTTTTAGAATGTTTCAATTTCACTACTTTATTCTCGCTACAACGACATATACTCGCTACAACGAGAACCTTACCGTTCTAACACTTCAAATTTCTTCTAACATCCCTTTATATGCATATTTATCATAATAATACAATTATAATTCTTATAAAAATAGGGATGTTACAAGAATCTTAAAATGGATCTATATTACTTAACTCACTCATAGCTGAATGCAAAAGCAGAGCTCTGATTTACCATATTAGAAATAAAAGAAATGAAAGAAATATACAAATAAAGAACAAAATACTGGAAATGAGAAATGTATTTCTTTCTCTTACTCATACAAGAAGAAACAAGGCCTATATATAAAGCAAAAAATAAGCACACCTAGCCTAACCAATTCTGATATGGGAATCAACAAAACTACTAATATATGTACAAATATCTAAAAGAATAAAAAAAAAAAGATAGATATACAAAACAATATGCACAGATAATAATATACAGCTTTCTCCTAGAATACGTGTAATCTACGTGTGTGTGTATATATATACTATGAAAGAGTTCCTACTTTACAATCGATTGAATAGTACATGAAAAGTACTATAAAAAATAAAAGATTTTCACTCAAGAAATCGTTATTATATATTCTAACATTTTTAGCTTATTGGATTATCTTGTTAGGACATTTCCATGTATTTTTTATATGATTTATTTCTCTAATTAACTATTATGAGAATTAAATAAGAATATAATTAAGAATCAATACTTTATGTTTTGTATAACATCATACGTTGTCATTAATCAATCATATGATAATCTCACAACTTAGGAGAATTTCTGGTAAAAGACCAAGTAGAAAGGGAAAATAAAATAATTCTTAAATTCTTTCACTTTCTTTATACCCAAATCCCTATAATTTCTGCACTTCATGACCCATACAAGTGGTTGCTCTTTGACAGAGTTGTCGAGGGTCCAACCAGAGACTATACATAGTCAGTGGCTCATAATTCCACGCAGAGGTTGACAAACCCTTCAAATGAAATGAAATTTATCCCTATATATATCCCTCTCAGTTACCTATAGAAGCCACAATAGCTAGCCATCAACCATGGACTATATGAATATTTTTCCTGTAATTTCTCTTCTATACATATGCATTCACATCCTAGTCTCTAACCTTAGCAAAAACACAAAAAAATCTCCTAAGCTCCCACCTGGTCCTCCCAGTTATCCCCTCATCGGTAACATATTGCAACTTGCCCCACCCAAACTGCCTGAAACACTTAGTAAACTCTCCAAAATATATGGGCCTATTATGACTGTTAAAATAGGCACTATTACCACTGTGGTCATTTCCTCTCCAAACATAGCCAAAGAAGCACTTCATAAAAATGATCAAACCTTAGCTAACCGATTAATACCTGAGGCTGTTCAAGCCCTTTCACATGACAAAGCTTCTTTAATATTCATGCCCTTATCACCAAAGTGGAAGATCTTTAGAAAATTTTGTGCCACCAAAATATTCTCTTCTCAACAACTTGACTCTACCCAATCAATTCGCCTAAAAAAGATGAAAGAACTACTTGATTACTTGCAAGAAAATTGCAAAAAGGGTGAAGCCATTGACATTGGTCAACTTGCCTTTACCACAGTACTTAATTCAATTTCAAACACCCTTTTCTCCATTGACTTGGCTAGCTATAGTTCTGGTTCTTCTCAAATATTTAGGAATGTTATTTCCCGTATGCTGGTGGAAGCTTCAAAGCCAAACATTGCGGACTATTATCCAATTTTACGTAGATTTGATCCCATGGGAGCAAGAAGAAGAATGAAAAAATATTATGAGACGATACTGACGGTTTTTGACACTATCGTTGAAGAAAGAATTCAAAAGGGTAATTGCACCGAAGGAAGTGATGTGTTAGACTCGTTTCTCAAATTGACCCAAGAGGAAAATTTGGAGTTGACACGCCATGATCTGCTGCATATATTTCTGGTGAGTATCAAATTCAACATTACTGTGTGTTAATTTCTTAAGTATGATAACAAATGAATACAAGATCTCGACATTTTAAAAAAATAATTATTTTAACTTTTGTCTAAAAAATATAATAAAAATTTATATATAGAAATTTATTAAAAACAATAAATTATCGCAGATCTAATTAATAATATTAAACTTTATAATTTATAATAAAAAAATATTATTTGTTGTTTTCTATTATATATCTTTAAACTTACATTGAAAAAATCTTTCGAAAAATGTTACCTTCACGGAACTCATTTTTCAGTGATACGAGTGGTACACATCTCTCTCACGCAATCTGCGCTGAGTATCTTTTTCATCGTCAAATGCTGCCTTACGTGGGAGACTGGGATGACAGGACCACTACAGTGGAAATAATTTCGTGCCCGTGACATAGGCTCGTTGAAATAATGATTTATATTGTTCAAAATACATTGATTAACAATTTTTAAAATAAAATATATCATTAATAATTCTTCTTGTAATTCAAATATAATTAAGCGTAATTTTGTTATAAAAAATTAGCCTATGGAATTATTTAATAAAAAAATCTTACCTCTAGTTTGTAGCATTGAATTTAAGTGTAAAATAATATTTTTTTATAATATAAAGTTTTGTTATAATTTTAATATAATAAATACTTTTAATAAAAATTATTATATCTAAAATATGTCTTGAAAGCTATGATTAATAAAATAATTTAATTTAAAGGTTCAGATAATATAAAAAAATTACAGACATTCAATTATGAATTATAATATCATTAAAATCTATTAACTTTTATAATATAATTTTTAATTGATTAATAAGAAAAAAATCTTTATACTTCCAGATACCAAAATTAAACTTTTAACAAAATCGTATTTTCTTTCATAGCCTACCATGATTAGTTGTATAATTTTTAATTATCCATTGTTTGTCACACTTTGTGGTAGGACTTATTTGTAGCTGGGATTGATACAACATCAGCGACAATAGAATGGGCTATGGCAGAGTTGTTAAACAACCCAGAGAAATTGATGAAAACAAGGAAGGAACTTCAACAAGTCCTCAACAAAGATGAATATCCTAAAGATTCAGACATCACTAAGCTCCCTTATCTACAAGCAGTTGTTAAAGAAAGCTTAAGATTGCACCCAACAGCCCCTATTCTAGTCCACAAATCAGTTGCTGAGGTAGACATGTGTGGCTTTAAGGTACCTAAAGATGCACAAGTTCTTATTAATGTATGGAACATGGGAAGAGACTCGAGCATTTGGACTGACCCAAATTCGTTTATACCTGAAAGGTTTTTAGAAAGTGAAACAGAAATAAGGGGAGAGGATTTTGGGTACATTCCCTTTGGAACTGGTAGAAGAATGTGTCCAGGTATTCCACTAGCTCAAAGGGTTGTGCACACCATGTTGGCCTCTTTTCTATACCAGTTTGACTGGAAGCTACCACAAAAATCACAAGTCATGGACATGAGTGAAAAATATGGCATTACTTTACACAAAGTCAAGCCTCTCATTGCTATTCCCTTCAGAGAATAGTAAACACGAGAAAAACTCCTTTTCAATTACCGAAGAGGTGCAATATGAAAGAAAAAGATGCATACATTTTATAATTTTTGTAAAATTCATAAAATGCATGTATTTTTTTTTCTCTCTTTTACTAGACTCATCCAGTGATTTAAGAGGATTCAAACTCAGCAAATACCTGTCTTTAAGGCCAAAATTATAGCGTGGAACTTTTAGGCACAATCATTAGGATTGCCACTTAAAATGATGCTTTTTAGTAGGTAGTCCAAATACTTGTCACCGATGGTTTGAATGTTTATAGTGGGGTATTCATATATGAAAAACACTTTTCAGTCTGGCCTCGGGTTTTAACTTGTATCCTGGTCGAGGTTTGATTTTTTTAAGTATAACTACAATAGATGGACGTGAGAAAAGTGCATAGTTTATAAAATTATCCTCGTAAGGTTTTAAGGTTTAAATAAGATTTTGAATTTTACAGCTTTGATTATTTGAATCTTCATTTGTATAATTTAGGTTTTAAAGTAACTATATATAGGTTTTAAAGTAACTATATATATATATATATATATATATATATATATATATATATAAAGAGTAAATATCCATTCCGATGAGACACTAATGGTTAAATTTAAATATTTTTATTATTTAATAACTTTTAATTAGAATATAAAATTAACTAATTCAGTCGTTAAATAATTTTATATAATATTTAAAATTATATATATATATATATATATATATTAAATTTTACATAATTTATGAAATTTATAGATATATTATCTAAAATTAAATATTTACTTACATTTTAAAAAGTATTGCAAATTAAAATAAAAGTACTTATTTATTTTATTTTTGTATAAAATTTTATAAAATTAATCTTTACTCAAGACAATTAAAAATAAGATTGAATTTGTTAATACTACACACAGAAACTTTAAGTTGGTTTATTTCTCAAAATTATAAAGATCGCAAATTTAGTTTATGAGATTTTAATTTTTTTTATAGTTCTTAATTCATTAAATATGTAAAATTATTAATTTTAAAATTTATAAGTTTAAAATTTTAATTATCTTTTAGTTTTAATAATTTACATGTAAAATTTAGTTCTTAATTCACTAAATATGTAAAAAGTATTAATTCTTAATTTTATAATTTCAAAAGTTTAATCATCTTTTAGTTTTATTATTTACATGTAAAATTTGTTCCACATACTTGTATACATATAAAAAAATATATAATTAAAAATATACATTCCTACATTCATGGATGAAACCCCGCGTAATAGCTTATGGGAATTATAAAACTCAATTTCAAAGTTTCATAATATTAGAAAAAAAATTATTTTAATTCTTTTAAAATTTTATTTTTATTTCAATTTAGGTTTCTCTTTTTTTTTTCTTTTATGATTTTATTTTACCTTCAACTTTCATTTTGGTTTACTTCTTGAAATTTTTTCTTTCATTGTAAATCTCTAATTTTTAAATATATATTAAATAAAAATTTTATTAATTATATTTAATTTCATCAATTAAATAAATGAAATAAAAAAATACAATGACAATGATAACAGTAATTAGGAGAAAAATAAAGTTAATAATTGTATAAACAAATAAAGTTAATAATTAACAAAATTAAATATAAATAACAAAAAAGTTGACTGTTTAATTTTTAAGAAGTTCAAAGATTAAGATAAAAAAATTAATTTAAAAATAAAAACAGAAGACTAAAATTGCATAAAATTAAAATTTAAAGGATCCAATCAAAACATAAAAAATAAATTTAAAATCTAACGTACTAATTTTCTCAATGTTATTATGATATTATGTTCTTATTTAAGCGCAATTATCTTTAATTTTAACCTGTCATATTAATTATTATGATATTATTTTCTAATGTAAAATAAGATATATTATGTTGTTTCTACTTAGAGTTGTTAATTCGGTTTAGCAGACTTGGCCAACTTTAACTTGAATCAAGTAACATGTTAATACTAATGGAATTAAAAAATGTTAAAATAATTTAGGCTTTTGAGACAAGTCTAACCAGAAGCAACTCATTTTACAACTCTTTTTAAAAAAATAATAATATTAAAATAAAAATTACATTAACACATAACAAATACTTTTTTTAAGAAGTTAACATTTACAAAATTAAATATTCATCCCACAAATGTAAAACAAGAAAAAAAAAATATCATTCAATCATTTCATATAATAAAATTAAAAGAAATGTTTCGCGTAGTCTCAAATATTTAAAATAAATATTTTAATAAATCTTGGGATAAAAAGAAAGAAAAGTAATTAAGAAAAAAAAAAAACACTTTTGACAAAGTTAAAAAGAAGAGAAGGAAAGAAAAAAAAATTATTGAAATTCAAAAAGTGAAGAGAAATGAGATATGAAAGAAGAAAAAAAAAGAATAAAAATATGATAATAAATTCGTTTATCAAAATATATCATTTTTTATTAAAGTTAAGAAAAAATGATAAATAATAATTTATAAAAAAATAATATTTTTATAAAAAATTATTTACAATATTTTTTTAGTTAAATGACAGAATAAAAAAATGAGAATTAAATAAAAATAAAATTAAAAATTAAGAAACTAATATATTAATTTAATATATATAATTAATTTTAATATTATATTTATTTTTTTTACAAATACTTTTAAACTGACTCATCAAATAAACTCATTTTGTCGTATAATTTATTGATTTGAATCTGATTGACTAAAATTAAAATCTAACTCATATAATCTTTATCAAATACTTTAATTTGTTAATTACACTAATTGAACTAAATTTTTATAATAAAAAAAATCCATACTTGATTTTGAAAAATCATATTTGTACGTGTATTCTATAAAAATAATTAAATAACTAAGAAAGATATAAAAGAAAAGCGACAGAAATTTAAAATAAAATAGTTAATATGATAGAAAGCTACGTAAAGAAAAATAAAATTAGAAAGTTCATTGTATAAATTTATTATGAAAATAATTTTTAAACTTATGACTCATAATTATTTTTAATCTATTTTAATAATTTTTAATATAATTTATTAAAATAAACTAGTTTCAACTTATCTTAATAACTACCATTATTAAATAATATAACATAATTTATAATTGTAAAAAATTATTAAAAAATATTAAATTAAATCATCTATCTAAATATAATTTTTAAATTAACTATTTTAAAAATTAATAATTTTATATTAATATATATTAAATTTTCACCATTCCATGATCCCATTATCCGACTGAAGCTTGGAAGTAGTAATTAGATAAGGATCATACAATGAATAACGGTCTTCGCGGGTTGACTTCAAACTTGTAGCATGTAACATTATAAGACTCGATCCAAACCATTCACTTTCCACTATCGATTATGAGTTATGACTGACAACAGAAATCCCAAATAATAACAAAGAAAGAAAGAAAAGTTAATGCCTTATTGACTTTTCAGTGCATTAAAACATTATTCTATTTCTTGTCTAATGAAAGATGCCTAATTAAATTATAAAATTCCTTTTTAATAAATATATAATAGTTTAAATAAAATAATCTCAATTGATATTGTAATTAATAATTTTTAAAATTAATATTTTAAAATATAAAAATGCATGCCCGTGCATTACACGGTGGTATTATAGTAATAAACAGATAATTTACTTTGCGACAGCTGCTTCCTATGAAACTTCTGTAGGTAGTAATAATAGTCCTTATTGGTTGACCGTTGACTACAACCTTGTTGATTACATGACAACACCCAACTGTTCTTTTCCCACAATCAATGGATAAAAGAACAAATAAATAAACAAATAAATAAATTGAAAATTGAGACTATTCCTTCTAGAAGGTAGGCGCGTCAATGATCTACGCTATCGTCACGCTTGCTCACGTTAGGACACTCGTATTGAGATAATATCTTTTACATTAAATATATTTTTAATCTAGCATTTTTATCATTTTATTTTAATCTTTTAATACTAATTTTGTAGGGCAAAAAATTTGTTTTAATTTTTCTAATTAATGTAGTTTGATTAAAAACTGACATTTCTAATTTTTCTAAGATTAAAATATAAAATTATTTTCTTATTGTGTAAAATTCAAACCAGAGTGTTAAATTTAAAATTTAGATGAACAGTTCAGAGAAAATTATCTGCTTAACTATGGCACGGTAGATATACTGGCATAATATTTTACTTTTTATAAAAGTAAAACATTAAAAATAAATTAAATTTAACTCATTCTTAAAAGTTAATTTCAAAAAATATTTAATTTACATCTTATAAAACCTTCTAACCATATTTTTAACGAAAAACATCTTAATGTACATACACCCTTAAATGCATGTTTTTTCGTTATTATTTATATGTCACCAAATTTTGATGTTACTTTAATAATATTTTTAATATCGTATCCAAAATATCAGGTAACAATTTTCCACAAAGATGTGATGGGGCTACAGAACTAACCCACCGCGGATGAAGATGCTTTTCCTCAAGGAAGATTTGAAGATGCTTGCACTTAAAGTCTAGGTGCATAGAATGCATGAACATTTGCACCGAACCAGCGTTCAACCCAGAATCTGCTTAGCATTACTGAAAGGGAAATCATATTTTGATTTTCGGAAAAAAAAGCTATAATTACCTCACAAGCTCTTCGTGTTTCCTCTGTCTTGTTCTTTATTTCTTTCAGTGTTTTAGTACACAGGTTTGTTGGTCATTTACTTGTTTGGCAATGGATGTCAATTGTGAGTTTGTAGAATTTTCTTAAGTGATTGATTCCACGTTTAATTTTGTCCATTAGTCTTTATTCTTTTAGATATTATTTTTTTCCAAATGTCTATTCATATGGTTTGAAAATTTGAGATTAAGAAGTGGAACATTTTTCTTGACTATTACTTTCATTATCCTTGAAAAATGAGAGTAATGAGAGCCACTCCTCTTTCTTTCTGCAGTGTGGCAGGTCACTAAATTAAGACTTGTTCGGATTAGCTAACTCGAACTTGTACTCTTGTGTTTCTCCACCAAAACAACGTAGGGATTTCATATAGTTTTTATGAGTGATGAATATTTAACAACACTCATTTTATGGGTCCTTGAACTTGATTTGCTTTAACACAAAAAAAGTAGAAAAAACTTAGAATTCAACCTGACCCTGATTCTATAATCTGTTTTTGTCAATTCAAAGCTTTCTAATTTGTGCTCCTTGATATGTTAACCTTTTCCTAGTTGTTACTAATTTTGTTTTGTGTAGTTGGAGCAAAGAAGGAACTGAATTGACATGGCTGAAGAGAATGAACATGATGAGGCAACTACATCAAATGAGAAAAGGGTAGAAAAGAGCAAAGGAAAAGAAAACCCTGAGACAGTTCCATTTCACAAGCTGTTCATTTTTGCCGACTCCACAGACATTCTGTTGATGGTTGTTGGAACCATTGGTGCCATTGGGAATGGTTTGGGTTTGCCTATCATGACATTACTGTTTGGTGAAATGGTTAATAGCTTCGGCACTAACCAGCAAGATCCCAACATAATGGAGCTAGTATCCAAGGTAAAACCAAGGGATGGGCTAAATATGAAAATTGAACACTTCTTAGTTGCTGAGTTTGATTTGTCTTGTTTTTGTATGTATGATTATGAACCCCTTTTTAGTGTTATATTCATTTATAATATTCTTTGTTTGTGTGATTGACATGGTTTAGTTATGTGATAAAATTTCAGGTTTCTCTTAAATTTGTATACTTGGCAGTGGGTTCTGGGGTAGCAGCATTCCTCCGTGAGTACATGTTGTAATTAATTAAGTTTACCGCGTTTTTTCCTTTCCATAATAAAATTAAACCACTTGACACTTTAAATTAGTTTCTGAAATAATTATGGATTATTTTAATTTCTAAAACTAAAAAAAAAATATTATTTCAGTCTTTGATGTTATCAAACAACAGTCATTTTAATCCTTTAAATTAAAAAAAGGAGTAAAATACATAAGTTAATAATTTTAGTGACTAAAATAATATATTTGTAATTTCTAGCATAGTTACTGGATTTTCTTAATGACCCTGCATACTTGGCGCCAACTGCACCATACCAGGTTCTAGGTGCTCTTTAAAGGAAGTCTTGTAATAAAAATATAAAAAGACAAATTGCATACCAAGGCAAACTATGCACTTGTTCCTGTACCAGTATTTGATAACTATGATAACAAGGATTATATTAACTGGTATCATTATTTGAGATTAATTTGGTGTGTCACTATTGAGTTTTATAAACATGAAGGAAAAACACTAACGGAGAACCATTTCATTTTTCAGAGGTGACTTGTTGGATGGTCACAGGGGAAAGACAGGCTACACGAATAAGGGGATTGTATTTTAAAACTATACTAAGACAAGATGTTGCTTTCTTTGATAAGGAAACAAACACAGGAGAGGTAATAGGGAGAATGTCAGGTGACACAGTTCTCATACAAGATGCCATGGGTGAGAAGGTACTATATGTCGCAACTTGCAAGAGCTATATTGTAGAGTTTAATATAAATTAGGATAAAAAAGCCATTTTCAATTCACAAAGCCTTTGCTTTTCTTTATAGGTTGGGAAATTTCTGCAGCTGATAGCAACTTTCATTGGGGGCTTTGTGATAGCATTTGTCAAAGGGTGGCTTCTTACTTTAGCCATGTTGGCCACTTTTCCACTCATTGTTTTGTCAGGTGCTGCTATGAGTATCATCTTAGGCAGGATGGCTTCCAGAGGTCAAATTGCTTATGCAAAAGCAGCACATGTAGTTGAACAGACAACTGGAGCAATAAAAACTGTATGTTTATAAACCTACATAATGTATATTTAATGCATATTTTAAAAGTTCAGTGATAATTTTTAAAGATATATTATACATTTAGCTGACATTCATTTACTAAGTAAGTTTTATATATATAAAAATTTTATTTTATTCTTTGTATGAATGTTTTTTCATTATTTAATTTTTTTCTTTATATTTTAGTATTTATAGTTAATAGTATTATATCGACAAGGATTAAAATGTAATTAACAAATCAGCTAAGATTAAAATATAAGTTTTTTTAGAATAAAATAACTAATTTAAAAATAATGTCAACTATAAGGATCAAATGTATATTTTAATTAAAAAAATTATGAATTTTGTTTGAAAAAAATTAAAAATGAGACATCAAGTAAAAGAATAATAGATTTTTAAGAGATAAAAACTCAAATTTTTTAGTTAAAGATTATTTATGGTTTAAGATGATACATATTTATTTATATAAAACTTATTGATTTTGTATATACATAAATTAATTAAAAAAAATAATTAAAGTTGATAAAATATTAAAAATAAATCAAATAAAATAATTTTTTATTATAATTGAAAAAAAGTAAATATACCTGTATAATTTTAGGGATAAAATATCTAGTTGATAAAAAAAGTACCATAAAGATTAACTAACGATAGAAAAGTTATAAATTTACTTATATAATAAAGTTAATCTTTTAAATTTTTAAGTAAGAGTATCATTTCACATTTTCAATATAGTGAATGTTTTATTTTTAATTACAAAAATGGTTTTCAACGATATATAAAGATGATTACATATTAAAAATTACAATAAAAATGATATGTGAATTTTATATTCATTGTTAAATAAGATAAAAAATCAAAATATAAAATTTAATAAATTCTTTTATTAGTCAATAATTAAATGTTATTAAAAATAAGATTAAATTATAATACATATTTTTCTGGACTAAGTTTAGTATTTTATATTTTAAAATTATATAATAGGTTAAAATATGCATTTGATTCTTATATGTGATATATTTACAAATTAGTCATTATATTTTAAAAAATAATTATATTTTAACTTTTATTTCTGTATTTTGTTATATTTTCATATATTATAACCGTAGGGACTAAAATGTATCCAAAAATTTATATACAAACTAAAATGTAATCCTTATAAGTATAAAGGCTCATTCATAAATGAGTATCAACTATAGAAACTAAATATATAATTTAACCCTTTTATAAAGAATTTTAGAATTTTTTAAAATTTTATTAAGTGTTTTTCATTTGTAAGGGTAAATGTTGATAATGTGATTAGGTTCAACAATATTAAAAAAGAATAAATTTCTCAGTAGCTTTTAAAAAAATAAAAAAAATTAACTAACTTTATCTACTTATTGATTTTTAAAAAAATAATTACAACATTATAAGTTAGTCAAATTTTATTATTATATTAATTGTCAAGAATGTAGAAGTGTTTAATAAATATGCAAAAATAATAAATATTCCTACAATTTCATAAAGGTCTTATTTAGGATAATAATTTTTTAGGTTTTGTTAACTTCAGCATTTAAAACTGAGTTTAAGGATCCAAAAATAGAAATTTTTTATGAAAAAGTACACAGTTATTGTATTCAAGTTATAAAAATATAATAAATACTTCTTTTTCTAATAAAATTTTATTATTATTAATTTTTTTAAAAAGGTTTTTGATAAAAAAGAACAAAATGAGTAGTTTTTTTTTTCTTGCTACTTACTGTTTGGAAGTACTTGGATACTAATTTTTCTTTCACTATGTATATTTCCAGGTTGCATCCTTTACTGGTGAAAAGCATGCTGTAACTAGTTATGGAAAATTTCTTGTAGTTGCTTACAAATCAGGAGTTCACGAAGGATCCATTGCTGGAGTAGGCCTAGGCACAGTAATGTTTTTTGTTTTCTGTGGTTATGCTTTTGCTGTATGGTTTGGCACAAAGATGATAATGGAAAAAGGTTATAATGGGGGCACTGTACTTAATGTGATTGTTGGTGTGCTAGTTGCATCACTGTAAGTACCTTTCTTTTTAAGTATTTCTCCCTGCTAAGGAAGTTTGATAGGTCCTTGTTACTTTATCAAAACCAACACAACCAACATGACTATAAAGAAATAAATTCATATGAATCTCAAATTATTCACTTAATAATTATGTTTCTTATTTTAGGTCTCTTGGCCAAGCATCCCCTAGCATGAGTGCTTTTGCTGCAGGTCAAGCTGCAGCTTACAAAATGTTTCAAACAATTGAGAGGGAGCCAGAGATCGATGCTTATGATCCAAATGGAAAAATAATAGAGGACATTCAAGGTGATATTGAGTTAAGGGATGTTCATTTCAGTTATCCAGCTAGACCTGAGGAGTTGATATTCAACGGGTTCTATGTTCATATACCTAGTGGTACAACAGTAGCATTAGTTGGACCAAGTGGAAGTGGAAAGTCTACAGTCATTAGTTTGATAGAAAGATTCTATGATCCACAATCAGGTGAAGTTCTTATTGATGGCATTAACCTGAAAGAATTTCAGCTTAGGTGGATTAGGGGTAAAATTGGCCTTGTCAACCAGGAGCCAGTGTTGTTTACCTGTAGCATTAAGGATAACATTGCATATGGAAAGGAGGGAGCAACAATTGAAGAAATAAAATTTGCTTCTGAACTTGCAAATGCTGCTAAATTCATTAATAAACTACCGCAGGTTCTAGATTCTTGCTACACTAATTCAATTTCAAGAATCTTTTCTAGAATTGCAGTCTTGAAATTTGTTAAGTCACTTTGAGCATTGTACTTTGGCATATAGGGCTTGGACACATTGGTTGGTGAGCATGGAACTCAGCTATCTGGTGGACAAAAGCAACGCATTGCCATTGCAAGAGCAATATTGAAAGATCCAAGAATTCTACTTCTAGATGAAGCTACAAGTGCCCTTGATGCAGAGTCTGAAAGAATAGTGCAAGAGGCTCTAGACAGGATCATGGTTAATCGAACTACTGTTATTGTGGCACATCGCTTGAGCACAGTGAGGAATGCTGATATGATTGCTGTTGTTCATAAAGGGAAGATTGTTGAAAAGGGTATATCACACAAGTTTCTTTAAGAACTAGGTTTATTTTCTTCAATTCAACTGTTGATCATAAATAGATTATTAATATTTTATCATTCTTATGCAATTCATGCATAAAGAGTATATTTGAATTTTGTCACATTATTACACACATGTACACGCTAAACAACTACTTCTTATTGGATAAACCTTATTATGAATCATGAAATGGTATAGGTCTCACTTCCAATCTAAAGATGTGTTATAAACAGCATGTTAGGGACTTTGTTACAAGAACTCGTTATCTTAATATTTTTGTGGTTATTAATTAGGAACACACTCAGAATTACTCAAGGATCCTGAGGGAGCATACTCTCAATTGATAAGCTTACAAGAAGTAAACAAGGAATCAGAAGAAACTTCAAACCATCACAACCAAACTGAACTTCCCACAGAATATTTTAGGCTGTTGAGTCGAAAAAGGTCCCTTAGAAGATCTATTAGTAGAGGATCATCCACAGGAAGTAGCCACTCATTTTCGATTTCCTTTGGTTTACCAACAGGAATTAACATCAGTGATCCTGAACCTGAAAACTTAGAAGTAGAACCCAAAGAACAAGCACCAGAGGTTCCACTCTGCAGGCTTGCATCCCTCAACAAGCCAGAAATTCCAGTTCTTCTACTTGGATGTCTAGCTGCCATAGCAAATGGTGTTATATTTCCCATATTTGGTGTGTGTCTTTCTGGTGTCATCAAAACATTTTATGAACCATTTGATGAGATGAAAAGGGACTCAAAGTTTTGGGCACTAATGTTTACTGTCCTTGGTCTTGCATCATTATTGGTGATTCCGGCCCAAGCATTCTTTTTTTCGGTGGCTGGATGTAAGCTAATCCAACGTATTAGGCTAATGTGTTTTGAAAAAGTGGTTAATATGGAGATTGGTTGGTTTGATGAGCCTGATAACTCAAGTGGTGCAATTGGGGCAAGGCTCTCAGCAGATGCTGCTTCTGTGCGTGCACTTGTTGGTGATGCTTTAGGACAATTGGTTCAAAATTTAGCATCTATATTGGCTGGTTTGATTATTGCTTTCATTGCATGCTGGCAGCTTGCAATAATTATTCTTGTCTTGATTCCCTTGATTGGAGTAAATGGCTATGTTCAATTGAAATTCGAGAAGGGATTCAGCGCAGATGCAAAGGTGAGTTTTGAGTTTATTTTCCATTTCTGTGCAATGTTATAAAAGTAATTGCTCTATATAGTGCATATAAAACATAAATTCAAACATGCTATTAGATTATGAGTCAAGTTGTGATTATAGCAATGGATGTTGCTGCAGATGATGTATGAGGAGGCAAGCCAAGTTGCTAATGATGCAGTTGGAAGCATAAGAACCGTGGCTTCTTTTTGTGCTGAAGATAAAGTTATGGAACTATATAGGAAGAAGTGTGAAGGCCCCATGAAAGGAGGGATGTGGCAAGGGTTGATTAGTGGATTAGGATTTGGGATTTCATTTGTCTTACTGTATTGTGTCTATGCAGCCAGCTTTTATGCAGGATCTAGACTTATGCACGCTGGGAAGACATCATTCTCAGATGTTTTTCGGGTAAAAACTCTTTCATACTTGTCAAACATTCATAATTAACTTTTGAGAGAAAAAAAATAGTGTAGGAGTGTTACATTCGAATGCCATATTTTCCCTTAAAAAATGTAAACATTTACATCTTTTTGTATTGCATGAATATGGGTACGGTACACATACTTGGTACAGATACAAACATTGGATAATGTAATTTTTAAGAGTTAATACTATGGGTATGTTTATAAATTTCAAATAAAAATAAATAAAGAACAAACAAAAAATATTTGTAGATTGTTGTAAAAGTATTTATTATAAGAATTTAACAAATTCATATCACAGATCTAATTAGTAAAGTGAATGGATTTGATTAAACAGGGAAATAAATATGAAAAAATAATATTAAAAAAACGTAAAATAATCACTGAATTTACCAGAAAATTTTTTATTTTTGTAGAAGAAAAATGGTCTTGTTTGATAGTACTTAAGCTATAACTAGCTATACCTCAAGCCAAACCTAATTTCAAAGAAGTCATATTTATATCGCTTACAATTATTTAAAAAATTAATTTAATAATTACTTAAGTATACCCAACATTGTACCTACCCAATATATTACATATGCTTAAGTAAACAAATTGTTTTGCAGGTTTTCTTTGCACTAACATTAGCAGCTATTGGTGTTTCCCAATCGAGTTCCCTTGCTCCTGACTCAAGCAAGGCCAAATCAGCCACTGCTTCCATATTTGGAATAATTGATAAGAAGTCAAACATAGATCCAAGTAATGAGTCTGGTACCACACTGGATGATGTCAAGGGTGAAATTGAGCTTCGTCATGTGAGCTTCAAGTATCCATCAAGGCCTAATATACAAATTTTTCGAGACCTCAACTTGATTATCCATTCTGGCATGGTAAAGTTTGAGTTTTATATTTTAACACCATATAATTTCATTCTTGCAACTAATGGTTGCTATCAAAATTTTTGTTCCAGACTGTGGCCCTTGTTGGAGAAAGTGGAAGTGGAAAATCCACAGTAATTTCATTGTTGCAAAGATTTTATGACCCTGATTCAGGTGAAATCACACTTGATGGAATGGAAATTCGACAGTTACAACTCAAGTGGTTAAGGCAACAAATGGGTCTTGTAAGCCAAGAGCCAGTTTTGTTTAATGACACCATTCGTGCCAATATTTCCTATGGAAAGGGAGGAAATGCAACTGAAACAGAAATCATAGCTGCAGCAGAATTAGCCAATGCCCACAGGTTCATTAGTGGATTACAACAGGTAACAAATAATTAAATACAGGATAAAAACTTAGGTGCGCTACTATTAGTATTTTTTATATGCACTTTAACTAACGTTGAAGGTTTATTAAGATAATACATGCAACAGAGATTGACATTAAAGGCTGATCACTGTTCTGTGGTCAAACTTTAAGTTTGATTAGAGAATAATGTTAAAATTTCATATTGTTCTGCGATTAAAATTAAAATTTTACTTCAGTAACCCACACAATAAAGGTTGATTTAAAATAACACAAACATCACTTACATTGCGGCACTTAAGTTTTGTCTTAAATAACTATGATAATGTATCTTTCTTTTTATTTAGAACCCTGCTAAAGATTTTTAAAGTCTTTTGAGTTATGCCTTTGCAACAATTTCAATTAGACCTTTGTATTATTGGTTGAACTAATCACAATGTGGCAACTATTCTAAATGTTCTTGCATCTATCACAGGGTTATGATACAGTAGTGGGGGAAAGGGGAATCCAATTATCTGGTGGGCAGAAGCAACGAATAGCCATTGCTAGAGCTATAATTAAAAGTCCCAAGTTATTGCTATTAGATGAGGCCACAAGTGCATTAGACGCTGAGTCAGAGAGAATTGTTCAAGATGCATTAGACAAAGTCATGGTGAATAGAACCACTGTGGTTGTGGCACATCGTCTATCTACAATAAAATATGCACATTTGATTGGTGTGGTGAAAAATGGAGTTATAGTGGAGAAGGGAAAGCATGAAACTCTCATTAATATTCCAGATGGATTTTATGCTTCCTTGGTCCAACTTCACACAAGTGCTTCAACTAAATAAGAGAAGTGGAAGGGGTGCCTTTTATTTTACGAAGTTGATATTCGTCATAGATGAAGTTGTTATTCGTCATAGATGAAGCTAAAATGTTTTAATTATAATGTAAAAAGATAGTGTGATTAATAATTTATTATAAGGTACGAGAGAATTCACTTTAATACAAAGAGTTGATATCACGAAATAATGCAAATAATGCAAGATCAAGAAATTAAAGGAAAATTACAAAAATTTTGACTGGGTTAATAATGAGGATTTTTTACGTAAATAAAATAATTTTAAAAATTAATTACATAAATACCTTCTTTTAAAAAAATTTTACAAATTTGTTCTTAAATATGTTATAGTTAAAGTTGATTAAAATCGACTTTGGTAAAAATTTAGAATTCTTTTAAATTAAAAGTTGATCTTTCAATAATGTAAGACTTATTAAGAAGTTAACTTTAATCGACTTACGTGAATTTGGGTATACTTAATATATAAGTCGATTTAAATTGACTTTTAATATGTGCATAAGTCGATTTTAATAGATTTTTCTTTAACATAGAAGTCAATTTTAATAGATTTCTCTTTAACACAGAAGCCGATTTTAATAGATTTTTCTTTAACACAGAAGTCGATTTTAATAGATTTCTCTCTAAATTTAAAGTCAATTTTAATAGATTTCAATTTTGACAACCACTTTATATTATCATTCCATTTGTCTTTGCTGATTTAATAAATACAAAGGTTCCGGAGTTTGCATCAAATTATTTTAAAAAATCAACCAATTGAGTTCATTTTCAGTAAAATGGGAGAGAATGATGTTCATGTATTTATATATTATAATGGTAAGATTATAAACACAATGGAAGGAGAAACGTTTCGTAGCGACTATTAGGCTTGGTTAGTTGTCTGTTCCCCAATTACTTTACTATAGTTGAAAAGCCAAATTCTGGAGGAGTATGAAGGAAACTATATACAAGTCTCAAAACTTTTCTACATGATGCTGATTGATATTGGGCCAAATGGTATTCGATATAAAAGATGGCGAATATTGAAAGATGAGCACATCGATCACATGTTTAGTTATTTTAACTCATTTGCTGAAGCTCATACAATAGAGATTTTTGTCGAATTACAAGGTGATCATTTTAGCTCTGGAGGCTTAGTCCCAGATCAATCACCTTCTGTATCAAATGTAGGTCCATTAGTTGAGATGTCCCACCATGACATGCACGCACAATTCACATGATGAGGTAGGTTCTTCAAGTTTCAAGCACTTTGTTAGAGACATTGAAAATCCATTATCTCTTAATCCACAGGAAATAAGACAAGATAGTTTGGTAAGAGATTTTGATTTTGTTGTGGCACAACAAGATACTGAGAATGATGAAGAAAAGGACATTGATGATGATGAAGTTGAACAGTTGTGTGATGTGCAAAATTTGGATAAACATTTGATATCGCGATCTCAATTCCAATCCCAATCTCAAGCTCGACATCATCCTAGTCACTACTTAACAATTGATTTAGTTGCAATGCATTGTAATGTGAGTGAGTCTAGTTCAAGTTTGAGTATAGGGTGAGATAGTAATTTGTCACTTGGTCAAGTATTTTGCTCTAAAAATGAAGTGACGTTTGCTGTTAAAAAATTACATCATCCGAAGAGATGTTCAGTATAAAGTTTATGAATCTGACCACATAAAATTTTATTGCAAGTGTGTCAAGTTTGACATTGACTGTAATTGGAGTATACGTGTCACTTTTCACCAGAAATTGTAGTTATGGGAAGTGCAAAAATTGACAGGACCACACACGTGTCTTTCTAGAGTCGATGAATCAACATGCTCAAATGGATTATAATATTATTTATGCCTACATATACCCCATGATCCAAGCAGATCCGACGATAAAAATCAAAACCCTACGAGCATCAGTTGAGTTAGAGTTGAGGTTCAAGACAACATATAGAAAAGTGTGGCTCGCCAAACAGAAAGCTATTGCTATGATATACGAAAATTGGGAAGAATCGTATAATGAACTTCCAAGATGGTTGGGTGGCTTGCAGTCTTATATGTCAGGTACTATTGTCCAAATGCAAAATGGACCATACTATATTGGTGATGTTGTGGTTGCTTTATGTTTCATCATCTTTTCTGGACTTATCCACCATACATAGAGGCATTCAAATATTACAAAAAATTGATTTCAATTGATGGGACACACTTGTATGGCAAGTATAGTGGAACATTGTTGATGACAATTACCGAAGATGGTAACTCAAATATCTTGCCAATAGCATTTGCAGTGGTGGAGGGAGAGACAAAATAAGCATGGTCTTTTTTTCTTAGAAATGTTCATCATCATGTGACACCACAAGAGGGTATACTTGTCATATCTGATAGGCATCATGCTATCAAAGCAGCTCTAGAAGCAACAGATAGTAGGTGACATCCCCCTTCAGCCTATCATGCATATTCACGACACATTGTATCAAATTTTGCAATAAAGTTCAAGAACAAAGATGCAAAGCAATTGTTGTCGAATGCAGCATATGCAAAGAATGAACATTATTTCTTGTACTGGTTTAGAGCATTGGGTGATGTAGATCTTGCGATGTGTGCATGGGCTAACAAAATACCGCGTGCGAAATGGGCTCAATATGCTGATGAGGGTCGTCGCTTTGGGCACATGACTACTAATCTATCAGAGTGTATGAATGCAGTCATGAAAGGTACTCGTAATCTTCCCATTACAGCCATAGTTAAGTCAACATATTATCATTTTATTGAGTTGTTCATAAAAAAATGGAACAGAGGTAAAGATGCAACTTGCTAATGGCAAAAACATTTCACAGACATTGTTAAATGCAATTGAGGAGCATAGGAAACACTTTGGGAATATGAGTACCACTCGAGTGACCCGAGATGTGTTAGAATACTTGGTGTTTGAAAGAGATAACATGGGAAGTCGTAGTTAACAGGAATTCAGGTTGCATTTAACAAAGCGATAGTATGACTGTGGAGAATTTCAGAAGTTACATTATCCATGTCGTCATGCACTCGCTGCGTGCTCTGACGCTCAAAGAGATTGGACTTCTTTTGTTCATGATGTTTACACCATTGAGTCTGTGTTTAATGTGTACAAAGCACAATTCTCTTCAATTCCTAATGAAGATATGTGGCCACCATACACTGGCCCTCCTATATGACCAAATCCTACACTTAAGCGAAGTCTTGAGGGTCGGCCGGTTTTAACGAGGTTTCACAATGAAATGGATGAAAATGATTTGAGCCAGGGAAAACGATGTGGATTGTGTAGAGGTACCGGTCACACTAGACGGACATGCCCACATGCTTCATCTTCTAGCCAAAATAATTGATTTACTGTGTTATATTATTTCAACGAGGTTTCACAATGAAATGGATGAAAATGATTTGAGCCAGGGAAAACGATGTGGATTGTGTAGAGGTACCGGTCACACTAGACGGACATGCCCACATGCTTCATCTTGTAGCCAAAATAATTGATTTACTGTGTTATAATGTGTTACAGTATATCTTTTTTCCCTGTGTAGTAATCATAATATTTTGTTGTTTATGTTACTAGTTTTTCTAACGAATATATATTTTTTATCGACTTATTGTCTACTACAAATCGATTTATTTAACCAAGCTAAACTAATCATATATAAAAATGATAAATTTCAAATTACATTAAAACTTAAAGCAAGTTAAACATAGATGTCTTACACCACCATGCTTGAATAAAAAAAAAAAAAAAAGACAAAGTGCATAATTAAAACGATACATATCGATCTGAAATACTATAAGCCACGCCTATTGCGTCTAAGGCCAGTAATGTGACTCCTTGTTGCACAACGACGATGTACAATATGTCACACTGGTCTATGGTGTATGGCTTCTTCCTCCTATGGCTCATATTGGTCATCTACTTCTTCCTCCTGATGTGTTGGCGATGGTCGATAGAAATGATCCGGTAGTTGAATATCTTGAACTGGTGCATGTGTCTCAGATGAATGTAGCCATGCTGTAACCTCAGCATCTTAAATGAAAGGTGGATTGAAAGATATATGTCGTGCAATATCATCCTGGGCTAGACCTGTGACAAAATGCTACGTAGGACTTGGAGTGAGAAAAGAATCAGATATGAACTGATGACTAGGACCCGCCATAAATTGTTGGCTGGGAGTCATATATGGTTGGCTAGGGCTCGGCAAGAACTGGTGCTGAGAAGGGCCAGACATATATTATTGTTGGCTAGGTCCTAGCATAAAGTGTTGGCTGGGGTATATGGGTGTCAGGTGGTATACGTCGTGTGATGTAGGCTATACAGTGGGATATGCATTAGGTTGTACATCATGTGATAGGGGTTCGGCTGGTATATGCGCCTTATTGGGGTATTAGCGTCTACTAGCACGTGTACCTGCATGCAAACGATGGCTAAAATACCGTCTATCTGGAACGTCATCAAGGTGTGTGATGTCAGGTACTGGGAGAGCATGTAGTACTACACCATCAAGCAAGTTCCTAAGCTCTGGATTCTGTAGGGCTCCATCCAATGATAAAAATCTATTAGCGACTGACAAATACCACTGGAAATACTCGACAAAGGGACGATCATCATCAGCTAGAGGATATTGAACTCGTTGCTCCCTACATGCCTCCTATATAGTGTGCCATGTTTGGTGATAATTAGGCCATCATATCTCTAGATCACCCCTCCCATCCTTAGCATGTAATTGATCAATATTTATCAGGCTAATTAATATGTGTTGTGCTCCACCAAATTGTTGAATCACGTGATTAACAGGGTGCCACTCAATCACAGTAAACTGTATAAAAGCAGTCATAGATGCCTAAACATCAGCCTCGTCATACACGAAAAGAGGTGTAATCATCCTGATCTCATTGTTTTTGTAGGGCATCCACCTAAACTGAAATAATCAAAACCAAATATTAGACCAAAAATTAAAATTAAAAGTCAACAAAAGTTAGTAGCATACATCCTCTTTGAACTTACCCCATTAATGCCAATTGAATCAATGATCCTCCTATATCGCAATAACTTATTCATATCTGATCTCATTGATGACTTAAAATTTTTTCACCTGAAATGAGTATAATTAGTTTTTAGTGTGCAAATTTAACATATATAAATAACAAAAAT